AAGGCTGTTGATCAGGTCTTGCCCCATCTCCTGATGCTTCTGAGAAACAACGAGGATGCTGAGCAAGCACTGTCAGCACTACTGACGCTCCTTACCGAGCAAACAAGGGCTAACATCATTCTACCCAACTTGATCCCGACGCTGATCACTTCGCCCATCTCTGCCTTTAATGCTAGAGCCATCGCTTCCTTGGCTGAGGTAGCCGGTTCGGCCTTGACGCGCAGATTACCTGCGATTCTCAACTCCTTGATGGACAACATCCTTTCAACTACGGACGAGGAGCATCGGGAAGAATTGAACAGCGCCTTTGACGCCGTCTTGGTATCTGTGGATGAATTCGACGGTCTGAACGTCGTGATGAACGTCATGATGAGTCTTCTGAAACACGATGACCACAGACGCCGCGCCACCGCTGCGCTCCATCTGAGCAAGTTCTTCTCGGAAGCCGAGATCGACTACTCCAGATACTACCAGGATCTGATTCGTGTCCTGCTTATCTCCTTCGACGACAGCGACAAGGAAGTTGTCAAGGCAGCTTGGACAGCACTCAGTGGGCTCACGTCTCACATGCGCAAGGAGGAAATGGAAGTCCTCACTATTCCAACCCGCCAGGTGCTGCGACAAGTGGGTGTGCCCGGAGCCGATCTGCCAGGTTTCAGCTTGCCGAAGGGTATCACTGCCATTTTACCAATCTTCTTGCAGGGTCTCCTCAACGGCAATGTGGAACAGCGTACGCAGGCGGCTCTGGCCATTGGCGATATCATCGACCGTACCAATGCAAACTCTCTGAAGCTTTTCGTTACTCAAATCACTGGTCCTTTGATCAGAGTGGTTTCTGAACGTTCAGTGGATATCAAATGTAGGTTGATATGAGGCTTGCTTTCTGTATCGTTCACAAGACTGACCAGGACTAGGTGCCATCTTCTTCACACTTAACAAGCTCCTTGAGAAGATCCCGATGGCAGTCAAGCCATTCTTGCCACAACTGCAACGTACGTTTGCGCGAGGTCTAGCCGATTCTACCAGCGAGACACTGCGCAACAGGGCTGCCAAGGGTCTTGGAATCTTGATTACCTTGACGCCAAGGGTAGATCCTCTCATTGCAGGTAGGTCAATTAGTTTACGTGATAATTTGATGGTAGCCTTGATACTAATCTTTGACCAGAATTGATTACGGGTACAAAGACAGATGATATGGGCGTCAAGAATGCGATGATGAAGGCACTACAAGAAGTCGTCGGCAAGGCTGGCACGAATATGAGCGAGGCTTCGAAGAATGCTATCCTTGCACTCATTGACGATGATGCCAGCGATCAGACTGGTAGGTTGAGATTTAAGCCCGACAAGATCACCGTCGCAAATCTAACTATTCGGTAGATGGCGTTGCTATTACGAATGCCAAATTGCTTGGTGCGCTGGTGAAGGTCCTTCCCCCATCTACCGCCAGCCCACTGATCAAGTAAGTCTATCCTGCGATGCCTTTCAACTTCGGGAACAATGCTGACATGGTAATTCAAGGAACCGTGTGCTCACAAGCCATATGACACATGCATCCATTCTGGGCCTGAACGCCTTGCTGGTTGACTCGCCGTCGTCTCTGACTGAGAATTACGCTGCCGAGACCCTATCGATCATTTGTCAGGGAGTTTCGAACAAGGATGTAAGTTACACACTGGCCTTTCAGCACTTCGCGGTCCTGATTTCTGTGACAGCCTTTCATTGCCGAGAACAGCGTCCTCGCAGCCGGGAAGTTCCTTTTGATCGAGGATGAGAGTCGCAATTTCGAGACAAACAAGGCCATCTTCGAGGCACTAGCGCCCTGCATACAGGCGGGCGTGCCTCCTGATGTTCGCCGTCTCACTTTGGTGGTCTTGCGAACGGTGAGCCGACTCCACCCCGAACTGACCCGACCTCATCTGGCTCTTCTTGCGCCACCGATTTTCGGCTGCGTTCGTGATGTGATCATTCCCGTCAAGCTCGCTGCTGAAGCTGCGTTCCTGTCACTCTTCTCTGTTGAGGAATCTGAAAGTGCTGTCTTCGACAAGTATATGGCTGGACCAGGGGCGGAACTTCCCCCAGGTCCTAAGCGGAGCATGTCAGACTACTTCAAGCGAGTTGCGCTACGTCTCGCCAGCCAGGCTAGAGAACGCAAAGAGGCCGAAGGTGGACAGGGAGGACTGGGTTTGTCCAATGACGAAGCTGAGGATGAGAAGGAACTGTGGAGCGTCGGAAAGGTCGATCTAGGGGAAGGCTCATTTGCCGATGAGTAGTTGAGCGTGGTTTACATTCTCCCAGCGTTGGCATGAGCGAGATCTATACCCTCCGCATTCGAGTGTATAGTATAGAGCAGACTATATTACAAAAGCAGCATATGATATGAACGATGATTTCCTTTCGTTACGTTGAACGCTCGCTTAAGAACTTGTCCCTCTTCCCAAGCCAATGAATGTCACGTGATTGGTACGGAGACCCGGTACATGACATGAGAATACAACGAGATTCGAGGAAAAGTCAATAATCCGAATAAGCCTCTCATGTCTTTTCAATGTAATCCAGAAGTAGCATGATCCAAATAACTTTCCAGTCAGATATCATCATATCATAGGCTGCGAGACGTTGAGGCTCAATCCGCTTCCCCGGTCGGGACAAGCGTCCGGGGCACAAACCCTAAGGTGGACCCTCTCGCTTAGCAGCACAGTCGCTTAGCTAATCAACCGCCCGTATCTCAAACTCCTCACCTGGGAATTCTACCCGTCGACGAGTGCAACGAACATCATCCGCCAACGACCGTCGATACGCCGACTTCAAGATGTGAGTTCCATCTTCAGAATCTGATATTGTCCTTTCATGGGGAAATACTGTCACTTGATGGAATTTTTTCCCTCGACCAGCGCGTGGAAATGTCCCATTTTCGGAAAATTTCTCTCTGCTTGGGGACTTTTTCCTCGACCGATTCTGAACATCAGAAAGGCTGACCGTGTGGTTTTTCACTTTACAGGGTCAACCTTCGCACCCAGAAGCGCCTCGCCGCCTCCGTGGTGGGCTGCGGCAAGCGCAAGATTTGGCTCGATCCCAATGAGATGACTGAGATCTCCAACGCCAACTCCCGCCAGACCATCCGCAAGCTCGTCAGCGATGGCCTCATCATCCGCAAGCCCGTTACCATGCACTCCCGCGCCCGTGCCCGTGAGCTCAACGCTGCCCGCAGAATCGGCAGACACCGCGGTCTGGGTAAGCGTAAGGGTACCAAGGACGCTCGTATGCCCAGGTATGCACACTCTGCCTCTGTCTACGGTTGAGGAGGATCATCGATCGGTTGCCACACTCCCTGCCAGTCGTCTGGGGGACAGAATGAAGCAAAGAGTCTTTACTGATGGATGCCTGCCTATTACAGCCAGCTCCTCTGGATGCGCCGCATGCGTGTTCTCCGCCGCCTCCTCGTCCGCTACCGTGCCGCCGGCAAGATCGACAAGCACCTTTACCACGAGCTGTACCACCTGAGCAAGGGTAACACTTTCAAGCACAAGCGCGCTCTGATTGAGCACGTAAGTCTTCCTCTCGATTCCTGTCGTTTTCAGTGGGATGCAAGGATGGCGAATACGCGGCGAATAGAGATAAAGAGGCTGACAAATTGCTTTTTAACCCTTACAGATCCAGAAGGCCAAGGCTGAGAGAGCGCGTGAGCGCCTGCTCAAGGAGGAGATGGACGCCAAGCGTGCCAAGAACAAGGCCCTCCGTGAGAGACGACAGGAGCGTATCGAGGCCAAGCGTAACGCTCTGGCCGGCGAGGAGCAGCAGGAGTAAACAAAAAAAGCCATCTGACTTTTTTTGGCGGTGCGGAGGTTGAACTGGGGGGAAATCCAATAGCCAACGGGAATCAGGTCGGCCATGTTTGTTTTGTGTCTCTCAGGTCTGGCTCGGTGGTTTGATTCTCTGTCCGGGACAATGATCAGGGGAAACCTGGAAGATATTTGATACCTGGGATCGGGAAGCAGTAAAATGCTATTCCTCTTTTTTCTCTCCCAAGGAAAAAGAGCAAAGAATGAGAGAGAAACAAAAAAGGAAAACGAAGCTTTCTTTTTCTTCATTTAAAGGAAAACAAATGGCATGGCGCTTTTGTGTGATATGAGTCTTGAAATGTTTTTTTTTCTCTTTTTTTACCACCACTCTACGAGTCCTCGTTCTCTCTATCATCATATCGCATCCAACCGCTCCTCCGCATTCCGACCAGAGGACTGCTCGAATATCCTGCTTACCTTCTCCCCATACCCCTCGGTTCAGCCTCGGTCCGATCAAAGCTGTTTATCTAATGTCGTAACGTTACGTGAATATCAAATTCCCGATTCGGTCCACTGCGCTTGAGATAGTCTGAGATGAAGTTGGTGTTATTCTGTCTGTAGTATTGCCATGTATCCCGTATCCACTATCCGGACTTCCCAGATTCTTTTCCCTTCCATCTAGGTGGTCGTGTCTCCGTCGTTTCTGCACAGCCTTATAAGACCTTCACTTTTCAGCGCCGGTGTGCAAATCTGTGGCTGTTAGCCTTTTTACCTTTTTATTATATCGTATGAAATTGAAGGAGGATGTTCAACTCGTTATTTGCAGTATTTCAAGGTTGAGCTGTGTTGGTCGTGGAGTTGCAGCGGATATATATCTCTGAGAGAAGGACAGAGTATACTACGGAGCGGAGAGTAGCATGTCTTATGTAAAGCAGGTAAGAACATGGAGTCACGGTCCTCTCGAGCTACATGATTTTAAGAAGTACAGAGCAGCAGTATTTGATCCCATATAGAGCGACTACTGACAAATCATGATTAAGTTTACCTGACGTACATTTACATTATGATAATACACTATTCTGAAATGATACCTACTAGAATGAAAGATGATGTACAAAAGCAAGAAAATCCCTGCAGCCCTGTTCGTCCTGTAGATAACATTCGTGTCTCATGTCACGTATCGCATTGACTGGGGTTCGAACACTCGAGTGCTTGCGCCAATCAACCCCGGGGAAGTGCGCCAGAGCTGCGCTTGTGCGTCGCGTTTGGAGGGACTTCCAAGTCAAACGGGTCGCTCCGGGTACTGACTCTTGTCACGGAGTCATTGGGTCCAGGCGGCCCGAGATCCGATATGGATATCGGATAGCTCGCCCTTTGCACGCTGCTGCCAAAGCTACTTCGCCCTGGGAGAACGATGGTACTTCCTAAGCTGCGTTCACTGCTGTAAATGGAGTGCTGGTCCTGGTTTATTTGTATGCCTGGCGAGATTGATTTCGCGTATGAAGGGGAATGCGACCCCGCGAGGGTTGAAGCATCGGGACAAAAAGGTTGGTCGCCTCGTGTCGAGTGCACTTGTGTTCCACTAATAGCGTCGCGTATGTGTGGCCGCATGCCAAGAGATACCTCTGATGGGTTTGGATTGGGCTCCGAGAGATGAGATGAGCCCTTTCTGACATGAGCATAGCTGGAACCCATGTTCGGACCCGGCACATGATGGTGGTTCGGTGCAGAAGTGGCATCCGAAAGAGATGATGTCCTGGATAAAAAGGCATGCTGGGAGCTTGCCCAGGAGTCTGCGGAGTGCCGACCATTGCGCAGCAGTTTCTCGCTCCCGCCGAAACTTCGACCGTCGCGCGGTTTTCGCCGTCTATAACGATAGATCAGAAAGCACATCAGGAGTATGAGGGCGATCAAGCCCACGGTACCGAAGATGCTCCCCAAAATCGTTCGAAGCGTATGACGGTTCACGTCTTCGGATGCGCGATCTGAAAAGTTCTGCAAAGGGTTTGTCGCGGAAGGAAATGCTGCGGTGACTGTATTCCTTGTGGGTGTCTCGACCATAAACTTCGTCTGCGCCGTAGACGTCGTCAGGACTTCGGAGCTCGCCGGTTCAGTCGACAGATCAGTCGGTGGAAGGCCAGATGTCTGATTGTGAGAGGTAGGAGATGCAACGGATGTGTGTATGTCCGTGTTGCTCTCGGGATTTTGTGGAGGTTCCGAGAGAGAGGAAGTAGTTGGGAGGGGTACTAATTGGACATCTGAAGGAGCGACGGCGATAAGAGATGATAGCGACACTGTATCAGCGGTTTCCGTACTGGATAGTAGAGTCGTCGTCACGGGTTCTGGGCGTTGTACTGAGACTGGCAGGAATGGTGTAGGCTCTGGCACAACGGCAGGCACTGATGCCGCTGCAATTGAACTTCTGGGCACTTTGGTACATCTCAAGCCCTGATATAAGATGATAGAAGGACTGGACATCGACATTGCGCCAAGCCCACAGGCTGGACGGATGCGACGGTTGCTCTGCTAGATTGGGAGGCCAAGAGCGGTAATTGCTGGCATGCATGAATCGATAGTGCCGAAATGATGAATGAAGACCCGTTCGATACAGGTACGGCGCGTAAAATGCCACAGCGACCAGAGTCAATAAATCGGAAGAACAGTATAGTGGCTGTCGGAATCTAGTCCAGAGCGAGAGAAGGAAGGTATAGGAAATGTGAACGCGCTATATCTTCATGATTGACGTTTCACTATGCCCCGTGCCAGGAGACGAACGCAATGGTCATAGCAGTCCGGGCTGGGAGGGGCTGCATTCGCGTTGTACCCTGCTGTTTCAGGATTCAACGGTGAAGCACAGGTGGTACACAAAACTTCAGCATAGCATTCTAGCCCACTTCGTAGTATATAGATTGATTTCAAGTAGATTGATACTATGAACTCATGAAAGGATGGAGAACAGAGTCAATACCAAAAACATGGAGCAATAACGGGGAGTTCTTCCTCAGCTCAACCGCGTGTGTTTGGTATCGACCGGGCGCTTATGGGAAGCGAACAGCGACGAGGATAGAGTTAAGAGGAACCGAAATCTAGGGCTTATTAGTTATTAGTAGTTCGTAGTACCCAAGATGGGAGAGTTCAATCGAACAAGGACCTAAGCAGGGGATAAGTGCTCCCTGACTCGAGGAAATTCATCCGGAAGAGATTGAGTGAGACAGAGCCTAATAAGCACGTCCAATCCCATGAGGGACTATGCAGTGATCACTGTGACGATAAATTGGCAGGGCGTTAGTCTGTCGCATGGGGTGGAAGCGAGAGGCCACTCCCCAGCCCCTCACACGACGCTCAGTCGCTGGAGATTCGTATCTTCATTTAACCATGATTCAAGGGAGAGTAGCAGCTGCAGATGGGAAGTGGTGGTTTCATAGCATGTTGGGGTCGTATTCCTGAAGACCGAGGAATTGAACCAAATCCCATTGAACTTGATGAACATGATGAGCAAGATCACCTGCTACCGATCCATTGAGCTATGATCTATCAAGCGATGGATGTTTCACTTGTTGAAGCCGGGGAAACTTTACCTACACGGAGACGATGACACACTTCCTGATTGGGCCATCAACATTGGTCATTCACTAGTCTGTATGTGGATTAGTTTCTGTGTAAGCGTCATGTGATTCATTCAACGGTCCGACTATTGTCCTATATGACTGCCTCAGGCAGCTTAAATGCGTTGGCTTGTACTCGACATACTTCCCATGAGGCAAACCTGTGAAACCAATCAGGTACTATGAGTGGTGGGTGAAATAACATTGGCTTGTGTTGCTCTCACAAATTACTCTACATAACTACTTTGTACTCGTTGAAACTATCATTTCTTCCAAGTCATAACGTTGTGTGCTCCTGCCCCTCGAAGCGGGGCAGTCAATACATCTTCCTCCAAGTCGAAGCCATAGATGTGGAGAGGCGGTCAATATATAGAGTCTATGAATGGTCACATACAATTGCATAGTATCTACTAGACGTCTCTCTGCTGGCCGAGTGACTGTTATAAAGCGTGTGCGAGGGCCCAAAAGTACTCCTGGCACGAGTATCTGGATGCCTTACCGCAGAGGAATTATATAGTTACTACTTTCGATCCTCTCTACTGGTCACTCTGATGGCTCACTCGCTTCCCGTCTGATGAGATCTTGAAAATGGGGATAATAGGAATAATGATAATGACGGTTGAACCAGAGTAGGATGGACCAATGCTGATGCTAATCCGGCCCACCAAGGACCAAGATCATCATTTTCCCCTCTTGAGTCCTGATAGTGGCTTGTTTTCGTACCTTTTTCATCCTTGGCCCAGGTGGACATTCTACTAATTCATTTCTCTCCGCAACCGCAATCCAACTTCGACAAAAATCATTCTTGCAATTCCCCTTATCATTTGTTGTGTGGTTAATCGCTTCAACATCAACCACCTCAGTCAATGAACCGACTGTCATCGAAAGAATTCCATCATTGCTTTTGGTCATGGTAATTCTACTCGGTCAATTGAAGCTGCCGTATCTCCGTTCGATATCCCGCGATTTTCCCATATACGGAGGAGCATGTGATTGATTCTTCATCTTGATCATTTTCTTCTCTTCTCAATACATTGGACACGATCTTATCTTGTTCGAGCTGGATACTCGCACGTTCCCTTGACAGGAAATACCAAGCGGAAGCCTAACCAATATGATGATCGGTTGGACCAGTGGGTTGGGTAAGATTTCCCCTCACTAGTTGTCACACAGAAATCCGTGGTATATACAAGTATACCTTATGATACAAAAGCTTCATTGATGAATGCCACCATGTCAACTGTGCCTTCAATGCTCAAAACCAATGGCTGCTATGTCAGTGGGTCACGCAATAACTACATCCTGAGCTTCCTGGCTGTGAGATTCGGCATTGCTTGAATGCATAGATTCTCCTGACATATCAATACTAGCATTGTCCATAATGCTAATGTCGAATAGGGTTGCCCATGACGGGCTCGCCGCCTGAACAAGAGAAACGACCCCCGCCGCCTCCAACAGAAATTGACTTTCCAGTCTATGACCTGTTAGACGTCCCGCACGACGCATCGGAATCGACTCTAAGGGAGATATCCAACCTTCTAGCCTCGATCCGCCGGCCGCAGGACCTCTCTACAGAGAAGTTGAAAGCCTTCAATCTTAGATTGGAGACAGGCATTACTGCAGATCGCATTGTGCCCCAGGGCTCAACACTTTTTCCTCCGCTCCCTTGGGAAGCTCGTACCTGTAATGAGACCGAAGACGGCGAGCCGATTTTGATGGACAATGGTAACACATACCCCGCGGCGGACCGATTCGAGAATCTGAAGAAGGAACTGCTCTTGGATAACGATGATGCTTTCCGAGAAGTTGCACGACTACCGCCTAAGGAGGGCCGTCAGCGGGTCCGAGTGGCTCATGCAAGAAAATTTTGGGCGGGGCTGGAGCGAATGTCCCAGTGGTGGGATTCCAGTCTGGACAATTACTTCGAGCGCCCTGCCACCCCTGAAGTAGCGTCGGACGAGGCCAAGATGCAGACAGATGGGGAACCGCAGCCGGCAGAGATACCGGACTCAACAACTACGCCTATGGATCTGGACAACCCACCAACAACGCAGACCGTCAACGGAATGTCTTCAGACCGGGAAGAGGGGCAGCAGCCGATTGTTCAAAGATATACCGGCCGCCGGATAGGTAGCGGGCAGGAAATGCCAGAGGATATTCGGGAGGAGACGGTGCGAGCGCTGGCTGAGATGGCCGCCTGGCCATTTGGCTGCCAAGTAACTGTCCCGATGCTCCCACCGCGACTCACCGTCAAGAAACTTCTCTTCCCCATCCGACATTCCTTCCAGGCTGCCCGATCGCCCAAAGACCGACAATTGGCCCGTAGCGGTGTCATGGAGGGCCCTCTCTTTGTTGCCCAATGCCGGCCGGAGACCTCGTTCCGAGGACCCGAAGACGTACCAGGGTCCGGCGTTGGGGAGGTGTGCGACCTGTTTCGGGAGCTCGGTGCCATGCTTCTCGCCGCGCAGGAGCGCGCGAGGCAAGGGACGACGGAAGTGAAAGCCGGTGAGGGCAAGTGGTGGGCGACCAAATCCCGATGGGGCGGAGCGACCCAGGACACGCAGGACAACAGCAATGGCGAGGACCAACCTGTGAGGGACGGTAATGACCGCAAGCGCTCCAAATACGAGCATCCATTTCTCGCATCCCGTCGGGCGGGCTCCGGGCGGAAGCTTAGCAATGCCGAGAAGTGGAAGATTGTGCAGCCAGGGCCTAGTCTTTGGGACAAACGGATGAGGTACATACAGATTGGAAAAGACAAGGACAGTCCATTCGACGATGTATGTTGAATCATCAAGGCAGGGGTGAGCTCATGCTAATCCGGTGCTAGATCTACATGCTCTCCTCCATCAATCACCACGTTGCCATTCTTCACCTTCGAATCCACCGTCGGTATCTGGACATACTCACAACAGGCGAGAGTGACTTCCCACCAGAGACCGACACGCTTGACCAGCCCTGGCAGGTTCTCAAGCTTCGGCGAACGAAATGGTACGACTTGTTTGACGCGCAGGAACGCCTAGAGGCGTTTCAGGGCGTGTGGACGATGTTCCATTATCTTTTGCGCAAGCAGTGACCGTCTTTGACCGGCCCTTAGACTTACTTCCAGCAAGAATCCAAATGGAAGCTGAGCATCACCACATTTCCTAGCATTCTAACACAATACCTACGTTTCGGCAGAGTACATAGAGCAGACGCGTCCATCATCCTCCGATTTTATGCATGTTTAGATGAAATCAAATCAAGCTAATAACCTGACGCAAGGGGAGAACCGACAAGACCATCAACCACAATACATGCTGCAAGTCATATTCCCTTACATGCCATAGATGAAGGCTATGTGCAGTACGCAACCATTCCAAATATCTCCTGTACTCAACACACGTAGAACTATAGACAGTGCAGTCAGCTATACCTATGTGCAGCTTTATCAGCGACAAGTTGTACTTACTCTACGTCCTGTGGAGTAAGGAAGTAATAATTGGCATGGACGCAGCTATGGCCATTTACCCCCTGAAGTAGGATAGGAGCACGCAGGACCAACCCCCCCGTCAGCTTCCATCCACCCCCGAGCCCGAGTGAAAAGCAACGAAGCCATGTGGTGGTGGCTTGGTCCCACGCGCCCCAGCAAACACTTTCACATTCACATTTGCATCTGTGCGGAATACTCGAAGCCGATACTCAGGCACTCAAGTGTCTCCAACACCCAAGACCCGAGACTTGAGACTCGAGATTGCAAGTCGGAGATACTTTATGATACCTCCCTGAGGTCCTCCAAATCCATCACCATGCAGGAAAAAGTGAGGCTCCGGTGATCTGCGCCTTCGCATCGGTTTCTCGTGTCCATTCTCTAGGCCCTATAGTTGTAAATTGCGTGGC